CTTGATCTTGATTAAGAAGGTGTGTTGTGGGCTTCCCCAACCTCCATACTACCTAAGAGGAATCTTGGCATACCATGCTTCATGATTCCTATAACCAATTTGGGATGAATGATAAGCTTCATGTTGAATCCTAATGATAAGCACACAAATGTTCATTGTGTTGAATTGCCTTGGTTAACCAATTGTTCCCAACATTTGAGCATCTCACTATCTTGCTTAATTGCAAGTTTTTAGTTATTCAAGTCTTTTAGTTTTCAAGCAATCATAACACGCCCCCCCCCTTTTAGTTTAATTGTAGTTAGTTAGTCTATTTACAATAGTTATTTTAGATTGCATTGGTGATTGAATACAACCATTTTTCCTCGAGGATCGATACCCCTTTTACCATTATATTACGTTTTATTTGCAAACAAAGGGTGTAATTTTCTTGGTGGACTTGACATCCCATCAGTAACAAGCCATTTATTAGCCACTATAAGTGAAACAATTGAGTTTTTATGGTTTATAAAAAAGGAGATGTGAAATTCCCATATCCCATTTCGGAAATTTGTAGAAAAAAAAATGTTATTAGCAATGCTATGGTATGGCTAGATATTGTGGGGTTACATTTGTGTGCATGGAACAAAATGACTCATCTACGTGTTGCTTACGGGGTTCGTTTTGTTTCATAGAAAATGATGATGATAGCCCAATGTTTGCTAGCTAAGTTGTCTATATTAGATTTTTATAACAAAAAAACCCTTTAATTAATGAAGAAAGTATGGGATTATGGTAAGGGAAATCTCGGGATGGGATCTTTATAATGCAAACGAATGCGGTGATGAGGATGACTTGAGTACTAGATGGGAAGATTTAGGTTTTGAGGAGGAGGATTTTAGTGATAATTATGAGGAGTTTGTCCCAAATAGTTATGAGGAGGAAAAGGTGGACAGGAAAGTTGAGGAAGTGTCTAGCGAATTTGACTACATGTTAAATGGGAATTGGGGTCATGAGCATGATAGCGATTATCCAACAATTGCAACCAAGTGGAGAGGTAGCATGTGGCTCATGTGAGGTTGACTCCGAGGGGCATACATGGGTTGTTTCAAAGGAATTGCTGAATGAAAGGGAGATAAATGCTAAAGAGGAGCAAGATAATCGTGATTATGCATGTAGTGCTCGTGGTAGGTTATGTGGTATTTTGGGTGTGTTCGGCATACAGTTATTGAGAGCTTCTGGTTTCTAGCTTTTAAGAAAATGCTCGTAAAAATGAAAATTCTTCATTCGGCAACAGGAACGTTTAACTTTTAGCCTAAACAAAATGTTCCAAAATCAAACGATACCTGCTACCTGCTACCCGCTACCCGTTACCTGTTAGTTTTACAAAACATGTCCTTTATAATGTGGGATCCAAGTTCTTTTTTGAAATTTAATGTCACATGTATCTATAATTTGGTTATAGGTGAAGGTACTTGGGGTGTCGGCGAATGTTACGTGTTTCTTGAGATTAATGTGTATGTTTCGCATGAAAATTCCCAAAAACAGGTTGTGTGAGATTATTTGTTCTCTTTTATGAATCACTGAAATGGGATCTTTCTCCTTTTTGGTGGCTTTAATGTTGTTTGTGGTCCTTCTAGGCGACATTGCTCAGTTTTTTTCCCGATTAATGCGACTGTGTTTAACAATTGTATTGCGGAGGTGTGAATTGGTTGATATTCCTATGATCGTGAAACGTTTTACTCGGGAGAACAACATAAGGTATATAAATTCAACAAATTAGATCGCTTTCTTGTTAGTGATGAGTTGGTTGGTCTTTTTCGTAACATGTTGTTTGCAGTGGTTGATAGGAACTAGTCGGATCACTGCCCCAATGTGTTGAAAAACAAGGCGTTTGAATGTGGGCCCACTTCCTTCCAAGTTGTTTCATTTGTGGCTTGAGATGTCCCATTTTGATTTGGTGGTTCGAGTGGCCATGGGTGAGTTCCAGAGTGATCCTAGAAAGGTTTTTCAACCTTTGAATTTGGCCACCAAAATTTTAATGGGCTCACTATCCCACTTGGAGTTGTTTTGTGATCCTTTCTAGCTTAACCCATAAATTGCAACTTAAATTAAGCCTAAAAGTTATAAAAGCCCAACAAACAAATTTTAGTTTAACGTATTCCCCATACACTTAAAACATTCAACCAAAATTTTATCTTTTAATACAATAATAATTAAGGTATTATTTGTTACAATAGCAACACACTTCAAATCTCATTAATCATTAATTTTCATCATAAACGACTTTCATCTAAGTTTTTTTTTTTATTTTTTATTTTTTATTTTAAGTAAACACTTAGCCCAAAGTAACGGATTATAGAATCACTTGATTAAACACATTGAAATTTTAAAATGAAATTCATCCATAGCAGTTATACGAGCTTAAATATCAATAATCCAATGTGCATATGGCTGTATGATTGATATTTTATTTTCTTATATTTTAAAAGTTACACAAAAAAATCTATGAGATAAACAAAAAAAAAAAAAAAAGTAAATTTTGACATTACCTAGGATTTACTCTAAACACTCTATTATACCATATTGAATGCAATATCATATGAAAAATATCATACTTCACAGGCTTAACATGCCACAAAAAATGTTGTTGTACCAATTTTACCCTTTCCTGCATCACCAAATACCTCGAATCCGAAATCGACACAAGAATACTCTTCAAATTCGGAACATCTTTCTCCTTTAAAAAAACCGCAAACGATTCCCAATTCAAAACCTCAAAAAACGGAGGGGCAAAATTGTCCGAAATAATCACGGGAACACACCCATAGAAAATAGCCTCCACTACCCTTGGACTATTGACTTCATACCCTTTTGCACATATACAAAACTTGCTAGATTTCATGTATTCGATATAGTTTTTATTGTTTTTGGATTTTGGGAGTTTTTTGAAGATTTTAATTTCAGGGTCTTTGTTTTCCCAATGGTGTAGGAGAATTGGGCGGAGGCTTCCGTGCATTCGGCCGGCGAAAAAGGCGAGGGTTGACCGTTTTGAAGGTGGTTGACCACCGAATTGTTTCAATGGATTTTTTGATGATTGAATTGTTGTTTCGGGTAATGCAACGTCTTTTCCTAATTGGAATCCTTCGTTTTTGACATCGGAATTGCACATTGCGCGTATGCAATTGTTCATGTATTTCTTTGTTTCCGATGGGGCCTGAAAAATCATAAAAATGGAAGCGATTGTGTTAAAAGGGCATTATGATATATCGAGGAAAGAGGAATGGAATGAGAATTTCACAGCTTATGCTTACCCAATCGTGACATGCAACAAGGAAATGATCAGATCCAGCAATTCTATTCCAGAAATTGTATCTTCCAGAAATTAAATCAAGGTATTTCTTCAAATACTGAATCAAGTTTTTGTGAGTATGAGAATCAACAACGTATAATTTTTCTTCCAACATTCTTGAGCTAAAAGGTAAGTAGAAAAGATGAGCTTCTTTTGGTTTTTTAGTGACGAAATGTTTGCTTGCTTTCATGTGTTTCATAAACCATCCTTCAGATGCATATATTCCTTTAAGCACTGCTTGTGGTTGATGAAATATAGGCTTTTCTCCCTCCTTGTATATGTATACCTTGAGTGTTTTTTCCATTAATTCATAGCTCCTGAATTTAATATTAATAATAATAATATGATAGTTGTAATAATGCATGTGCAGTTGTTTTCTTATTCCATAGATAAAGTTGTATGTCTAGTGGGATGAAGTATTGTATATATTAAGATATGACAAACATAGACAATAGACTACAAATCAAACCTTGAAACATTAACATCAAGGGAAATGGAAAAAATAAATGACCATTTTACCCTTAGATTAAGAAATGACAAAAATAAATGACCATTTTACCCTTAGATTAAAAATTAAGTTGTAATTTTTAGGTTGTGTGTACCTTATTAATTTGACCATTTTACCCTTATATTAAGAAATGGCAAAAATAAATGACCATTTTACCCTTAGATAAAAATTAAGTTGTAAATTTTGGGTTATGTGTATCCTTATATTAAGAAATGAAAGACATAAACAAGACTACAAATCAAATCTTGAAACAATAACATTAAGGGAAATGAAAAAATAAATGACCATTTCACCCTTATATTAAGAAATGACAAAAATAAATGACCATTTTACCCTTGGATTAAAATTTAATTGTAAATTTTGGGTTATGTGTATCCTTATATTAAGAAATGAAAGACATAAAGAAGACTACAAATCAAACCTTGAAACAATAACATAAAGGGAAATGAAAAAAAAAATAAATGACCAGTTTACCCTTATATTAAGAAATGACAAAAGTAGATGACCATTTTACCCTTGGATTAAAAACTAAGTTGTAAGTTATGGGTTGTGTGTACCTTTTGAACCTTGAAACATTAACATAAAGGGAAGAATCAAGTGTGAGATCATTTTCAATGACTGGAGCATTCTCGATCTGAAATTTTGCATCCAATAATTCTTGATCAACTGCTGAAGACCATCTTGGTTTCTATAAAAACACAAAAAGACACCATTTTTAAAAGCAACAAATTCATATGATTATAATGACAAGTTAAGAAATAAAAAAATCAAACCATTGAACGAAATGAAGCACGATTATGACCTAACATCTCACGCATCTCTGAAATTGTCACTACTTCCCCCATTATCCCATGATCATTACTTCCCTTAACTTGAGGAACTTCATTTGCAGATGATGATTTATCAAAATCATGGAAAGATTTTAATGCATCTATGTCTTTTTTAGGATCACTTTGTGTTGTAATATTCAATGTTGTTGGTGGAGATGGTGAAGTTGATGGTGGAAGAAGAATTGAAGGTATACTAACAGGCTTTGTGTAATTAGATCCATGAAAATGAGTGATGTTTTTAACAATTTGAGGGATTTGAGATGAATCTTTAGGTGGGAAGCTTCCATTTTTGAGTTTTTGAGCACTGTTTGCAGAGAATAAAGATGATATAACATCACCATATGGAAACTCTAAATACTGGAACATCATAAAAACAGCAAATACCACTGCTATAAGGTACACCAGTCTCTTGGTTTCCATTAAAGAATGAAGCTTTTGACCCATTTATGTAACACAAGGATCCTACAACCCCTGCAAGAATAGCACATAAGTTTATCAGAGTTATTTTTACTGGAAATGAACTTTTATTGGAAGAAATTAAGGTACAAAAGTTCTTTAATTAAGGAAGATTACACATGATATCATGGGATTCTTAATGTGCCACAATTGAGTAACATGTTTAATTAGCCTAAATTAATATTAATGAAAAGTAAATTAAAGTTGCTCCCATGTCCCACATTCAACATTGGATGTGATTTGAACTTGAGCACTATGGGTTGATTTTGAGGATAGAATTGATATAACTTTTGAACCTTTTTGAGATAAATTGCTAATTAGATTAACCTTTATCAAGTTAAATAATAGTATATAAGATAAAAAAAAGTTGGAAGCATAGCTCTTGTACAAAAACAGAGGGGAGAAAAGTACAAATTAACTTCATTTTATCTTCTTTTTAAGCTATTGTGTCAACTAAAGAAACTTTGATCGAACTCTTCCAACCAGTGGATTATTATGAACAACTTACTACATAGTCATAAAAACCTAATTATCAACCAAATTTTGCTCATTAAGTAAACAAAGGATCAACAAACTCCAACAAGTGTATAATAAAGAAACCAAATAAAAACCCTAGGAAAAAAAAATAAGAAAACTTCAATATATCGTGTGATCCACTTGAACAATCAATTAACATCAAATTCCACCACAAGCCTAACTTCCCTCGATCATAAAATCAAAAGCGGAGGAAAAAAGGAATAGAAACATCCCTAATTCAGTAAAATCATCGTTTGCTATTTCAGTCAAAGAAAGTTAGCTACAGATCATAAATGTGACACGTATTTTACTTTCTTCTATTGTTCAACGATCTTTGTTAAAGTCAAAGGAGATCAGCTGATAAGACTAATTATCTACATTTGTTAAGAGTTACCTGAAGGAGAGCTGCTGCCATGGACGACCGATTTGGAAGGTTGTTCAAAATTTTACGCCAGAAGTGTAGCAGAAGCAGAGGAGAAGAATATATTATTTTGGCTTGATTGGGAAATCATTATTCGAGCCGTTATACTACTTTTAGGTAATTGTAAAAGTTTCAAATTGGTCCTCCTACTTTTGGTTTTTAGACTTTTGACTTGCTCCAAACGTTAAATTGTGCCATTAAGCTTAATTTCTTTAATTTATACTTCAAACTTCAAACTTCAAACCAGAAAGGCACTCAAGTATGATTTTTAACTAAATAAAAGTACATTTGCTTCAAGCATCCAAATGCATGTCTTCAAAACTAAAAGGTAACAACTAAAATTTATGTCTAAAAATACTGTTTGAATAACTATCAATCAAAATCTATAAAAATTTACTAAAATATTGTAGTTTTATCATTAATCAGTATTTGAAACCAAAATAGACCTTATAGAACTCGAGCATAAAAATAGTTTTTAAGCATAATAAATCACATATATGTTGTTCATGATTTTTCTTTTAAATACCATTAAAGTCAATCTCAAACAAAAACCTATACATAATTTGTGAAAGTTTGCTGCATTTTTTTCAAGAATGCTTTATTATTTTTAAAGCCAATATTTATGACAAAGACATATGAGGGACAATGTCATGTTTGACATATTATAAGTCTAAATTTACAAAGATACTTATTTTGTAGCTAGAAGGTATATAGTATTTTCAAACTACCATTGAAACTTAAGAATCTAAATAAATCAACTTGTTTTATAGTTAGGATGTAGCTTTATCCTTAAAATCAATTAGTTTAAAACAACCTTGCACCATTGCTTCTAATTTTGGACAACTAGAGTGTGGTGAACGCTTTTGCCTTATATCAAAATTAAAGGAGTTAGAAATGCAGAAAATGGAACATATGGGTGTTAAGTGTAAAATTGCCTCATTATGCACGGGAAAAGGCGCTCATTATTTAAGAGCTTTAATATTGCAAGGACAGGAGTGGAAGTTAAAACCATGGTATCTCCTAATAATATAAAGAGGTAAATAATAATTTCCATAAAATTAATGGTTGTATACATAAATAAAATAAAAAATATTCATTAATAATCTCAAAATCAAATATGGTTTTCTCCTCCTAATGCGAATAAAACAAAAATAGCATATACAGTCATTCGAGATATAAACGTTTAGAAATAAGTATTACGGAAAAAATTGTATTTTATACAATATGATATTTATTTTAAAAACCATAACGAAAAACATAGGAAGATATTTTTTTTTTTAGGAAACGGTAAATATATTAAAAACTCACAAGACAATGTGAGGAATAGGAAGATATCTGCTTAGAGAAAATGCATAGTTATTGGTTTTTTTCTTAACTTCTTAATTTCACGTATGATATTATGTGGTACTTTCGATAAACTAGGTACATAAATTGCCACTGTAAACTTAAAATAAAAATAGGCATTGGTTGTTTGACATTGGGCAGGGTATGCCATCTACCATATTGCTGGTAACTGGATCCATCCATGGTCCATATAGTTACAATCAATCAATACATAATAATTAAAAAGTAAACAAAAAAAAATCATATAAAAACACTTCCAAATTAACAATTGAACAGGAATGCATATTTTAAACTGTGTAAAGTTCACAGTTGTACCAAAATACGATATATATTTTAATGTAAGTTGAAAAATGAAAGATTGATCTTAACTCCTCATTCGGAAAAAAAACGAAATCCTCAATTTGTTTGACCATTATAGAAATTACAACCATCTATATTTTATAATCGTGTTTATTTAGAACATTATTAGATAAAATTCGATCCATCAATATCTAGATATGTCCTTCAAAAAATATCAGATGATCATATTAGATATATATTGTAATAGTTGTAAAAATAACATTTTGACATGCTTTACTAATACATTTTATATTGACACGCTTTACTAATACATTTTATATTGACACGTGATATTCTTCTATACAACATGTGAGATTTTAATTCTAGTACATATTTTAAATCAAATTGGATAATTGTTCTCTCTCCGGTTGAATGAGAACATTTCATCGTCGAACGAACATATAGAATTTCTTTGCAAAAATAGCATGCTAACAAAAAATGATTTTCGCATCTATGACGTGTTATTGAAAATCTCTAGATATCAATTTGGTGTCATTATATAATTCAATTGAGGGATTGGTATTTCGTAACAATATTACAAAGCACCCAATGTTTAACCGACGGTAATAAGGGGACATACCACTAATTGTTGTAAAAAAAAATTATCTTCATACAATCATTCGATCAAATGATCATTAATCTCTATTTAGCTGACAATATCACCCTCGAAATGATAAAATTCAAATAAACTTATGTGGATTGCAAAGAAGGAAAGATTGCATTAATCAAAGCATAAACTAATTTACCTTTATTAATACATGGAATTGCCATATCATCAAGTATATAAATAAAGCTCATGTATTGTTTTCTCTTCCCCATTTCCAATTCGAAATAAAAAAATCATAAAATAATGGATCAATTACCCCTCTTATATTAGGAGTTAATCGTAACATTTTCATTTAAGGCCAAGGTTGTGACATTTATAAGCTAGAGTTAACAATTTGTGCTCATATGACATGTATTAAAACCAAAAAACACTTTTCTGAAATCACATTTCATAACCATTATTTTTTTTAATATATTGGAGCTTCTCACATGTGATGTATTGCATTGTTCTATCAAGTTCATCTACCACTCTTAACAACCGACGATTCATTCCATATGATTACCTTTGCATCTCGAAGTAGTTGAATCTTCCTGCTTTTTTTCTCGATGTTGTGCATCAAGCTATTATCAAGATTTAGGGAAATATTGAATTGAGATTGATTTTTTCTCCCTCTTAACATGTTACTAGTTGCAACACTTGGTGTTAGAGTCATAAGTGCAATATGTTAGCCTAATAAGATTTTGGGCTTTATCATGTATTGGGTTTTTATGATTGGTCCTTTTAGCTAGGAAAAACTAATTAGCTAGTCCATATATTATGTCTTTACCTTTCATTGTATTTGTATTTCTCTTTTATAATAATATGAAACCCTACCAGTTATATGTCTTTCACTTGTTAGTTTACATGGTATCAGAGCTCGGTTGATCATTTGTACTTTCATTTTGGGGGCGAGTTGTAGTAGGCACAACACTATTCATCGAAGTTACTGTTCATCGAAGTTACTATTCACCAACACTATTCATCAAAGTTACTATTCACCAATACTATTCATCGAAGATACTATTTACCAACACTATTCATCGAAGTTACTATTCATCAACAATATTCACGTATTGTTTGCAATTTTTGGGTATGATTTTCTTGCTCGATTCTGTATTTAGTTTGATTTGCTTTGTTCGTTTCAAAGACTTCGAGGGTTTCGTTTCATCTGTTGGTTTTATTTATTTTGAGATCTTGATTGTTGATGCTTTTATTCCTATTTGCTGTTGTTTTGGTTATTCTCGTTTAACTGATATTGGAAATATGGCCCCTGAGAGATGATTCTTTTCAGTCCATTAGTATCCAACTCGATGGCAAGAACTATTCATATTGGAGTTATGTTATGAAGAATTTCTTGCGAGGCAAGACTATGTAGGGGATTGTTACAAGTGGCAGGAAGAAACCAACAGATGAGAAGGCTGGGAATTATGAAACCTTACTGGATTCATGGGAGACTGATAACTCCAAGATTATTACTTGGATTAATTATGTTATCAAGTCTATTGGTACTCAGTTGACAAAGTATGAAACAACAAATGAGGTTTGGAATCACTTGGCTAGGCTGTATACTCAGTCTAATTTTGCAAAGCAGTACCAGTTAGAATTTGATATTCGAGCCCTCCAATAGAACAATCTCAGTGTTTAGGAATTTTATGCAGCTATGTCGGATTTGTAGGATCAGTTGGCCTTACTGAACCTGATGTGTTGAAGGCTTTTAAACCTTATATTGATAGAAGGGAAGAGCAACGTTTGGTTCAGTTTTTTATGGCATTATGTTTAGATTTTGAAGGCTTGTATGGATCAATCTTGCATCGCACACCTCTTCCCACTGTTGATTTGGTTGTTCACGAGTTGATTGCTGAAGAAACTCGTATTAAGTCTAATGCTGACAAAGGTATCAAGACAACCACTCCTATTGTCTTTTCTATTCCATGACGACCTCAGTCTTCAAACCAAAATCGTCCCAAAGTTGCATTTGACGAGTGTGCTTTATGTATGAAGAAGAACCATTGGAAGGCAAATTGTCCTTTCCTGATAAGCAAGGGAAATCAGCAGCAACAAAAAACGAGATCTCCTGCATAATTTCAGCATTTACAATAGAACAGGTCTTCTGGACAGTGTCAGTCCCGTCCCTTGTTTCCACCTTTTAGGCCACCACAGTACGTTGCTGCTGCACCTTCAGTTGAAAATGAGACAGATTTTACACCACCATCAGCCATAGATCCCCATATTGTTGAGCAGTTGAGACAGTTTCTTGCTACCAATCCAACTGCCATGTCGGCTTCCATGTCCCATTTAGGTCTGTCTTCATCTAACACATCAGGAATTCCTTCATCCTTGTGGATATTTGATTATGATGCATCTCATCACATGTTACCACATTTGTCATCTTTTTCTTCGTTATCATCTCGTACACTTGTCTCTGTTATGTCTGCTAGTGCTACACCTATGTCAGTAGAGGGTGTTGGTTCTATTGTCACTCATTATATATCTTTGACAGATGTCTATTACATTCTCACACTTGCTTTGAATCTTGCTTTGGCCAGTCAGTTGTGCAAGTCAGGTTGTTGGGTCTTCTTTTTTGATTCATTATGTTGTGTACAGGAAATTCGGTCTCAGAGGGTGATTGGGATAGGTCGTAGACTTTGGGATCTTTATGTTTTGGAGCAGCTACATGTTGCTGATATTGTTGCATCTAGTGTCGATTTGTCATCTTTTCGTTTAAACCCTTCGTCTTCTGATTTTTATCTTGTACATTCTCGTTTGGGCATGTGTCAGCATCTCGTTTACAGTTTTTGGTTTCCACTG